GCAACTGAATTTTACAAGTTATAAGAAATCTTTAAACTACCCCTAATAGAATTTTACGAGGTCGATCCACGTAATCTTCTACGTAAGACAATAAATTATCAGGAAAATAAATTAGGCTCCATAACTTAACATTTTTAATGTTTGTAATCTTTTATTTTCTTTTTCTTGTAGAAGGATTCAACCAAGCTTGTATAATCACACACATATGGCCAATGAATAGTGGTGAAAATACAAAGGAATATACAGTATATGATCATGAAGTCGGAATGTTGATTAATCATGCAAAATTGAAGCCCAATACTCCTTACCTCTCAGGAAAAGATTGACCCTTTGAATTATAAATTTAAGAATATTGCATCCCCATCTCTCACTTGGCAAACTATATATCTTCTTGATTGTCTAACATTTTATTCACTTCCAGATTGTACTGGGAGCTATCAAAGGAAGCTTGCTCAAAGGCTTTTCTCCTTCTTAGTCTGACGACATTCGTTGTTTTGTTGATCTCCTCCGAGGTCTCAGCGAATGATTTTGCTGAGAATACTGGTGAGTTTTTATGTTAATTTGTTTATGAAATTTTAGTCATCAAGTGAATGATAGTTAATTTATTATTTTGACATAATGTAACAACCCACACTTCTGTTTGGTATGGTATTTTTTACTTTAGGTTTGAGCTCGCACCTTAAGTGATATTCTTTCTTATAAATCAGGACCTATATATCATCATCATCATTAGACGATTTGAGACTGCACCACTTACTATTTTTTAAATCTCATAATTAGTAATGAACTTGCCTTAAATAACTGCCCACTATTACAATTCAAAATTAAAAAGAAGAAAATAAAATGAAGAATGTAACACAAAGTTTTATGGTTCGACAATGTGTCTATATATTTAGGGATTAGCAGAAGGGGGAAAATTTACTAGAAGTACATATATACTTGATAGTACATATGTACTTGACACATGCACAATTATGAAAGGATTAACACTTCTAATACTACAGATCGTACTGCAGAAACTGGCAAAGTGGAGAAAGCTAACTATGGTGACAGTTTCAGTGGCCGTTATATGGGACGGACAATATTGGCCATTCGCACGCATGCCAAGACTGGTCGTAAGAACTAATTTTGTAAAGGGTAGTAAACTTGAGTCGCATATCGATTAAATACAACAATAATCGTTTACTTATAAAGACATTAAGTCACTCTACTTAATAGGTTATAAAGACATTAAGTCACTCTACTTAATAGGTTAATCTTTTAAGATAAAAGTTAATGTCTTTAAAAAGTTCAGATTCCATCATGGCATCACAACCCAATAAGTCTAAATGAGCGGCTCGATCCATCCAATACAAGATTAGTCACTCTAAAAAGAGCACCATCATGCCACATATGTCAAGATCTTATTTAATTAAAAATACCACGTCAGTGTAGTACTTGAGGAAAGATTAAATATTCAAGATCGCGTCTAAACCCAATATGACATGTGAAACGAAGATAATGAGAAAGGCTAAGGGGTTGGAGAGCTTGATTATTCAGATTTTAATTATTGATTACATGTAATTGTTAATCAATTAATTATAATTATTATCCATAACAACACGCTACTCTGAAATTATTCCTTGATAATTTCGAAATAGATGGATTAGGGCGCCAAGTTTAGCTGTGCGAGCATGTTCTTTTTCATAACTCGAGTTGAGAACTTAAGTAAGTGTCTGTGTTTCTCAAAATTTTTGAGAAGGGTCTAGTGTGCAAACAAGCTTGCCTCACATATGCTTTTTTAAAAATGCCGTTGAACAATGGTGGTCGCATAAGCTAGATTGCTTATCTCGGTTGGTAGACAAAGACGATATGCATGTCTCTCCTTCTCCCTTATCACCATCAGAATCGTTGAAGTTTCTCAAGATGGGTCTTTTCGGTTTTTCGAGGCAGTTTTTAGTTCTTTCTGGACTTTTTTCTTTCATTTCTCGTATACACTTTTTTTTATAGGTTTTTTCTTGCGGGATTTTCTAATCAGGTTTCTAAGGAGGTATATTATAGGAGTTGTTTTTCAACGGAATAGTTTTGGTTTAACCTTTCAGTATTAGTTTCTGCTAGTAATGAGGTCCTTTTATTGTTTGATTGTTTCTCTTCATTTGAACGTCTTTTGTATTGTTTTTCTTCTTTTTTTTTTTTAAATAAATTGAATTTGGGGAGGGGATTGGAATTCTTTAGCTTTAATTAATGTCCGTTGGTTCTTTTCTCTATTAATAAAAAAAAAGTAGCAATATGAGTCTTTAATCTGATCTCGAAATTGGTCCTCGGCCTGGCACCAATCTTAAACAAAAACGACAAGAAGATTACCAAATGTGTATTTTTTTTTTTAAAAAAAAAAGCATTAAGAACTTTCTTTTCTTTTATTTTCTTTCCTTTTTTTTTTCCTGGATAAAAAACACTACAAAACAACACACCCTTTTTCCTTTTGTTTTTTTTTCAAGAAAAAGTGCACAGAAAATTAGAGGATCCACAAGCCAAAACCTGATAGGGAGTGTAGGTCGAAGACTGCCGCTGGCCAATAATCCACATCTCCCATCCCATGAAAAGCTTTAACTCTTTAGACCCAAAAAAAAAAAAAAAAACAGACCTCTTAAAGGGAGTAAAGAGTCGAGACTTGTTTGTTGGAGAAGGATTCAACCAAACTTGAATAATTACGTACATATTGCCGATGAATAGGGGGGGTAAAAAATATAAAAGAACATATTTATGTCCCGTTCATTTTATCGATTCAAGTTTAGAATTTATATTTTACTACAGTTTAAAACTCTCAAAAATAATTACATCTAATTTTTTTACTACATTAAAAAGTTTTCACATAATATCACATTTCAACTCGAATTAGCAAACTATACGGGCCCTTACATAGTTGGAATGTTGAATAAAAACTTCGGCCAATAATCCTTACCTCTGAAATATCGTCTGTTTGAATTATAAAGAATTCAATTTTCTTTGTCTCAGTGTTCTATAAATAGGGAGAGTCACAATAGGTCCAATCATCTTTCACTTGGCAAACTATCTTCTTTACTGGTCTTACATATCATTCCAATATTGTCTTCTTTGCTGAGTTTTCTTATAGGGAAAAAAATGGCTTACTCAAAGCCCTTTCTCCTTTTTGCTCTTGCATTTGCTGTTGCCCTGTGGATCTCTTCCGAGGTCTCAGCGGATAGGATTGCTGAGATGAAGAATTATGTCGTGTGTTGTCAATTTCTTTTTCTTAACTTCTTGTACTTTTTCTTTTTATTGAATAATAGTGAGTGAAGAAACTCGGTTTAGGCGAGTGCTGGACTATTTGCCAATTTAGTTCGAACGTGTTAGTTTTCTTTGATTTCATCAGTTGCCCTCTATCGTCATTTACATGTTAGTACTATCATGACCATCAAATTGGCTACCAAAGTTTTTTCTATCAAGTAGCATGCTAGTTGATTTATTTGTAATATATATACTTGGTCAAAAAGATTAGAAAATTAATTTTAAGTTTAACCATTATTTTGTACAACTTTAATATTTATGTCATTACACAAAAATTTAATGTTATTACAAAAAATAACTTAAAGATTATGTTTCATAACCTACAGGTTATTAGTGATATAAGATAAATTTTAAAACAATGGTATAAATAAAATATTGTTACCTCCTCGATGGTTTTTTTCCCGAAAATTTCCTGATTAAAAACCATTTAAGTATTTTATTTCAATTACATATAAACCTACGATCTTAACACGTGCATGCATGAAAATTTACGTAAGAATTAAGACTTCTTGATCTGTTGCTTCAGAAACTGCACAAATTGGCCAGGCGGAGAAACATTTAGCTAACCATGGTGACATTTTCGGTAGCCGTTTTGCGGCACTAGGACAGTGGATTGGCAAGCATGCAACCGAGACCGGTCATGCCTGCCGGAAAACTGACATGCCCGGTCGTGTCGGTAAAGGAAACTGAAACTGGAATCTTTGTGGCCCTTACATGGGCTGCACTCTATATATGTCTTTCTAATATATACTACTAAGAAAAGTTTTTGTGAATAAAAGTGTATAAGTATTGGTTCGGGTAGTTTTATAAACTCTCAACCAATACAAGCGGGTTTGTCTTCAGTGTTTTATGTAGTCTGGATCTCTTTAGTGACATTATTGAAATGTGATATCGAACTATATTTAATATATCTTTACTATCTGTTCTTTTATCTTTGAACTCCTGCCATTTATTTCTTCCAAAGCGTCTAAAAGCTCAAAATCTGGGTTGAAAAGTAAGAGAATTCGGTATTCGTAATTGAGCCAAATCTCATATGGAATCAATTAACATGCTCTTTTACGTATATTGTTATATATGTGATTCAGTTTGTTCTCTTCAGTTTGCCTTTAGCAACTCCATTAATAATAATAATAATAATTACATATGTACAATTAAAAAATGTAAAGACTAAAGATCCTGGATCAAGGTACAATTTTCAAATAACACTTTTGTTGTAATTTTTGCTAAAAACAGATAAAAGAAGAGAGAATAATGGAGTCGCGTAGTTTTTCTGTTTGAATTTTTGCGAAAAAAAAAACAACATAATTACACTTAAACTCCCACTTTTTTGTCTAACTTTAAGAGAAATTACAATAGAAAGGCCTAAGTGGAACAAATTTATAATTTAGAGAGTAAATTCAGAGTTTTTAAAATTTAAAAGGTAAATTGAGAATGACTTTAAAATTCACTGATACTAATGAGATTAATTAAATATTTTAAGTTACATGACTTTTTAATTAATAAATAAAATATCATATTTAAATTAACATACTTTTTAGTAGATGTGACATGGAGAAATATGAAAAGGGACACAAGATCAATTGAATACAACAACAAGGCACGTAGTTGCTTGTGCATAAGGGTTCCATGGCTTGCTTATGCGCGTAGTTGAGATGTGAAATACTCGTGGACTGGACCCACCAAGTGGGGCTCACAATTTGTTTTACATCTGGACTCTAGATCACGCGCCAACCGCACAATCTCACTATTTTTTTGATAAAGTCAACCATGATGGCATACTCCTTTATAGTCTTTTCGTGCACACCGTTTCGCAACAACTGAGGGAAGAACAACCAATTCCCCGTAACAATCAAGAACCCCAATGCCAACCCCCCGGAGACCGCCCCGCTCAACCGCCATTTCTCACCGACTTCCCTCTTCACCGCCATCTCCACCGCCGTGCACACCCCTTGAAGCACAAAGAATATGGTCACCTCCCAAGTGGGCCGGGCCCGCGTGATGTAATAGTACATGGCATCGTGCATCAGGCCCGATACCGTAAAGGCCCATAAGACACCTGCTAAATGGGCCCACTTTGGGCCGAGTATCAGGCAGAATAAACTCCGCACCGGGTGGAAAGCTGTGGGCTTTAGGATGCTTGAGACTATGAGGTTCCACCTTCGGCCCCAAAAGTCTTGGAGTGAAGTTGTGAGGTATGGCTCGTTGAACTGCGGTTCGAGCTCGAAGCCCAAGAGGGTTTGGGCCGGAAGGGCTGCGAGGGCTAGTGTAATCTCTATGCCCAAATACATATGACAACAGTACAACAATAGAGTTGTGTAGGAGGGCAAATATGGTCTATACTCGTACGCTTTGACAATCAATGCCAGTAAAATTACCTTTATAGCCATCAAAACTGACCTGGGCACTCTGGAACCAGCCTTAGTAACACTAGTTTGTGGGTTCAACATGGGTTTTTCCCACTTTTGGTCAGACGGGTTTTTGGTAATTTCGTGATGTTAGGCTTTTCAAGTGTTGGGGTTGAGTTTTGGGCATGTGGGATTTTGTTAGTACTTTCTATGGTCATGGGATTTTCTACTTTTGGGGGTGATTTTGGAGGTGGGTTTTGTGTGATTTTGATGGGAAGACAAGCAATGGAGATGAAATGGAAGAGGTTTGTTGGGAGTGGAGAGAGAGGGGCTTGGTCAAAGGAGAAAAGGAGGAGCTTTGAGAGGCCGAGCCAGACTAGAAAGAAGGCTGTGGGACCACCAAGATGGAAGGTGTGGAGATCCAAGGGGAGAATAATGAAGATGTAAAGGATTGGAAGAAGAGAAATTAGCCTTCTCATTCCTTTTGGAATTCTTGCTGATATGTAGTAGCAATAACAAAGGCTTGTTATGGCTATAATCCATACCTTGATGAAGCTCCTGATTTCTTCATCCATTTGATCTCTCTCTGTTATCGACCCCCGCTTCCAAGGCTCCTCGGCCACGTCCTCACCGGTTCCTAGCTATGGTGACAGAAGGAAATGGCGCAAGACAAATACAAGGATAAGGAAATCTCAAGAAAGGTTGTAATCATTCATTATTCTTCTCCACGATTCTTACAAGCCTAAATAGACTAGGGACTCTCCACAGGAGAAGGACCCTGATACGGTTATAACCGTTTCTAGGAAAACGAGAAGGAAAACAGAAAATATCACACACACAGCCCTCCAACCACGATCCTGCATGAGGACAAAAGGAAATAATACAACACACTACCCAAAAGACTAAACCACCCCTGATACTAAGAGGCCCTTAACAATGCCTCCCCCACCAAAAAATCCTTGTCCTCAAGGAATGGAAAACCCGGAATAGTGGGCCTGCACCAAATCTTTGATCTCCCAGGTAGCCTCTGCACGGGTACTGCCCTTCCAGCGGACTAGCACTTCGTCCCTGTCAGCCATCACTCTAGTGGCCAGAATTTCTGCCGACTCTTGTGCTGAAGTGAGCTCCCATTGAGGTGGTTGGTCCGGATCTACAACTTGATTGCCCACCTTCTTCCTAAGCAATGAGACATGGAATACATTGTGGACCCTACTTCCCGGAGGTAATTCCAAGCGGTATGCCACGGTTCCAATCCTTTCCAGCACACGGTAGGGACCAAAATATCGAGGTGACAACTTATGGTTCCGGCGGTGTTGAACTGAGCGCTGCCGGTAGTCCTGCAGCCTGAGATATAGCCAATCTCCCACCTCAAACTCCCTGTCAGTGTGTTTCCTGTCATATACTTGTTTCATGCGGTTCTGGGCAGCCGCCAGGTTGGACCGCAACACGACAAGCACATGGTCCCGTGCCTGTAAAGTCTCATCCACCTCCATTTTCTTTGCCGTTCCTGGCACGTAGCTCAAAAGGTTAGGTGGTGTCCTCCCGTAGACTGCTTCAAACGGGGTGATCTTCGTGGCAGAGTGCCAGCTGGTGTTATAGCAGTATTCCGCCCAAGGTACCCACCGCACCCAATCCTTAGGCTTAGCCCCAGTGAGGCACCTCAAGTACATCTCAATGGTCCTATTAACTACTTCCGTCTGGCCATCACTCTGGGGGTGGTATGCGGAAGAAAAGTTAAAACTGGTTCCCTGGAGCCGAAACAGTTCTGTCCAGAAGTGGCTAGTGAAGGTGGGGTTTCGGTCACAGACAATGGATTTCGGCATGCCATGGAGACGAAAAACTTGCTCAAAGAATAGTTGAGCCACGGTTTCTGCCTTGTACGGATGAGCCATAGGTATGAAGTGGCCCTATTTGGATAATCTATCCACCACCACCAAGAGAACCGATTTCCTTTGAGACCGTGGAAGGCCCTCCACAAAATCCATGGAATGTCTGACCAAACATTGGTGGGAATGGGCAAAGGTTGTAATAACCCGCCTGGACACTGTTGGTCACTCTTGTTCCTTTGACAAACATCGCATTGCCGAATCCACTCCTTCACCCTCATCTTCATGTGCTTCCAATGAAAACAATCTTGGATACGCTTCACTGTTTTGTAGAAGCCCTCATGACCAAAGTCATGGTACTGTTTTAAGATAACCGGGACAAAGTCGGAGTCCTCCGGTAAAAAAAACCCTTCCCTTGTAAAAAAGAACTCCCTTCTTGACTTCCCAAGGTGCCCTCATTTCTCCCCGATCAACTCTTCCCTTCAACTCCTTGACCTCGGCATGGGTCTCATTGAGCTCCACGACTGAGTCCCACCAAGTCAGACTAGGAAGTGTTATTACACACACCGCTGCGGTCTCTCCCTTTCTGGACAGGCCATCAACCATGAGATTGTGTTTTCCCAGCTTGTATTCTATAGTGAAGTCATATCCCATAAGTTTTATAATCCATCGTTGCTGCATTTTCGTGGTGACTTGTTGTTCTAACAGGAATTTGAGGCTTTTATGGTCCGTTCGTACCTTGAACCGCCTGCCAAGTAGATAGGGCCTCCAGTGTTGTACGGCTAGAGCCAAACCCATTAGCTCCTTCTCATAGGCCGAGAGGAAAACATTTTTTCCCTTAAGGGCCGTGCTGAAGAAGGCGAGGGGCCACTCCTGCTGCATGAGGACAGCACCTACCTCATTCTTAGAAGCATCACACTCCACCACAAACTCCAAACCAAAATCGGGCAGGCCTAACACAGGCGACTCAGTCATGGCCTTCTTCAACTTCTCGAATGCCGTGTTGGCTTCGTCCCTCCAAACGTAAGCCCCCTTCTTAAGTAATTCCGTCAACGGCTTAGCTATTTGCCCGTAGCCAGCAATGAATCTGCGGTAATAGCCGGTTAGCCCCAAAAATCCCCGAAGTTTCCTCACATTCTTGGGCTGAGGCCACGCTGCCATAGCTTCTATCTTAGCAGGGTCGGCCTTCACTCCCCCTACACATATGACATGGCCTAGATAGTGAACCTCTTCCCTGGCCAGAGAGCATTTTTCCTTCTTGACAACCAGGTGGTTTTCCTCCAAAATTCTGAACACTCTCTCCAAGTGGTGCCAGTGCTCTTCCCTACTTGGGCTGTATACTAATATGTCATCAAAGAAAACTAAAACAAACTTCCTCAGTACCTCCTTGAATACCTCATTCATGAGGCTCTGAAATGATGAAGGGGCATTAGTTAGCCCGAATGGCATTACCTTGAACTCGTAATGGCCGTGGTGTGTCCGGAAAGCCGTTTTATGTACTTCCGACTCCGCCATTCGAATTTGATGGTATCCGGATCGCAAATCTAATTTAGTGAACACCCTAGCCCCGTTGAGTTCATCTAGTAATTCTTCTATTACTGGAATTGGGAACCTATCCTTCACGGTGATCTTGTTTAATCCTCTGTAGTCTACACAAAACCGCCAAGTTCCATCATGCTTCTTGACCAACAGCACCGGGGAAGAGTAAGGACTTCGGCTCACTTGAATGACTTGCTGTTTGAGCATGTCTTCCACCATTTTCTCAATCTCTTGTTTCTGGTAATGAGGGTATCGGTAAGGTCCCAGGCTCACGGGTCCACTCCCAGGGAGCAGGGGAATCCGGTGGTCTTGCTTCCTTTTAGGGGGTAATCCCCATAGTTCCCCAAACACCGTTGGGTATCTTTTAACCCACGGTTCCCAGTCCACTTCTCCTTGTTCAATTTTTTTCCTCTCCTCAGTTAGCCTAATCTGTAGTAACATTCCAGTTCCGGTATGTTTCTTTAAAGTTTTGCTCATCGTCCCCCCCCCCCCCCGTTTTGCCCCCGGGGGCCCCCACCCCCACACCGGGACCCCCC